CTGTTGAAGAATTGTTGAGACTGTTGTAGAGATTATAAGTGGGCTCAGATGTTACTTCGACAAAGCTTTGCCGGCAATGCTACTGTACAAAGAAGAACGTGAGCAGTACAAACAAGTGATTGCTGATAACACTCCTCCTTCGTGCATATATGGAGCCGAACATTTTTTAAGGCTCTTTGGTATGTGATCTATTTCTAGAGTATTTAGTTTTTGTTTTCCTCATGCTATAGCATATTTTGGATGATTAATTTTTACATTATCTTCTTTCCAGATACAAAAATAAAAATCTAAGATATCTGGTGAATTGAATATTGTTTGGTTGTGGTCATCTGCATCCATCCATGGGATTTATATTTATATTTATAAAACTTAAGAAGTAATATTCGTTAATCTAATTACAACATATAACAGAAAATTTAGAAAATATGCCCTTTAATGTTATGTCTTATCCACAAGCAATCAGTTTGTTTCAGTTGGGCAACATTACTTTATTGTTATGATGATTTTCAACTGTGATCAATGAATTGGATAATGTGTTATTTGTCATTTTGATGTCAAATACAAACTCTCTGATTTGTGTTATAGTAGCATGTAAAGGGTGGTTTATAATTATTATTTCTTTTTTATGTAATTAGTTAAATTGCCCGAGATGCTGTCGTCCGTGTATATCGAGATGGAGACATTTCAAGATCTACAACAAATATTGATGGACTTCCTCAAGTAGTTTCCATAATGCAACTTTTTCTTTTTCCTTTTCCCGATTACAAATATTTGTTTGCTCTTATAAACTGGAAATTGCTATGGTACAGGTTCCTCAAGATCAACCGAAGTGCATTTTTTATTACAAACTACCAGAATTGGGGGGGTTCGTTCACTGCTGTTAAGGAAGAAGAAAACTAGGAAATGTTATCTGAGGTGATCTTAATGGAAATGAAAAGGACATCATTTTCGTACAGCATGTGGTTGTCGAATGAGTTGGTCGTTCATAGCTGATGATATGTAATTCGTGGCATACCGAGATTTTTTGACCAGGCTCTCTAATATATGTGAAGGTTGCCCAGTTATTCTCTGATATGTAATTCTTGGCATAACAAGATTTAGACTTGCATGTGAACTCGACACTGATACTACACCTGTTGAGCAATTATATAATATAAATTTAGTGTTGAAGAACATACAATCTTTATGTACTAAATGTGGACCAATAATATCAAGTTATCAACTAAATATGGACTGTTTATAAACTAATTATGCACTATGTATGAGCTAAATGAGCATTTTGCATGCACTAAATATGTAGTGAAAATATGCAATTAAATGTGCACTTTATATAATTATTTTAAATTTAATAATTATTTTTTTATTATATCATTAATTAAAATTTTAATTGATTAATACGAATCATTGATCTACACAAAATCAATAGTTAAGGTTGAGTTTCACGTACTTATTTTAAGGAGTAAACTCATTTGTTCCACACACACACATATATATATAAAGTTGGAGGTTCATTTTAATTGACTAAATGTTCTGCTCTTAACATTATTAAAACACACCGCACAAGTTTGCTCTATTTCTCGTCTTCAATAGTGTCAAATGAAAAAATATTCCACCATTTGAGATGTCAAAAGTTAAAAACACAAGCTTGGGTGTTAAAAAAAGACACATTTCATTTTGTTTTGGAGAGCGTTGAAAAAAGAGTGTCTTGTTGGAAAAAATAATCTTTTGAGTGAGGCTGACAAAGAGGTCTTGATGAAGTATGTTTTGGGAGCTCTCCCTATCTATGTCTTGTCCTATTTAAAAATTCCTTCTGCTATCTGGTTTTAGGTTAATAAGGAAATTGTTAATTTCTGCATGGGTAAGACAAATTCTGGTGGTAATAAAATTCATTGTGCT